AAAAGAGAAACTAATGAAGAATCAGCAGTGAAATCTATAATGGTTTCATGCCTTGTAAAGTAGGTAAATCAACGATTTGGATAAGTCTCTGTGTAATGGTTGCAGATTCGTTAAAACGATAACTGAACGAATCGCAGAAAATTTATATTGCTTTTGCGATCATATGTGGAAATTGATTGAGCATTGGCGTTGACATTGTTTTAAATATTAAATTATTGATGCATGGGGAAATTTGTATTAAATTAAACGTTGATACAATGCAAGATTTGTTGATTTTTTGGAAGAAAAACAGTAGTAGCGGATTGGAAAAGATTTTTACTTACTACTAATACAAGTAAGGTTAGGTTAAAGCATGTTCGAGATCCACGAATGCGGCTAATTTTTGGGGGGGACGCCTGTTTCCGAATTAGTGTAACAAGAAAAGGGGGTCAGAAATTTCACAACGCCACAACAAAAGAGCGGATTGTTAATCATACAATTGCGACGTTATAGAACGATTTAAGTTAAAAGATTTCTGCACCCATATACCAAAGCAACAGTAATGAAAATAACAAAGATACATGTAAAATGTTATTGTGAACAAGTTTAATTAGTGCACACTGTGCAGTTGCTTAATAAAGTGTTTCGTTACATGCGCGCAAACTTGATGTATAGTTTGACAAAATTTTGTGTTACTCGCTTATTTATTGGAGGGCACTGTATATTTGTACTGTGTTGCAGGGTACAGTAAAATGCGACGCCTTGGCATTGAGTGCTATGTTGCATCTATTGGGATTCCGTCGGCTCAAAATAGAAAGTTTTTTTTCTGTTAACGCATAGTATAGTAATGTACTTCCTGAACGCAACTCGGTTTTATTCGTAGCTACACTAATACAGTCGTACCTGTCTATTTGTATAACGTTTATTTGCATAAAGGAGGTCGGTTCTAATAATTTGAGTGTAATAATTTCAATTTCGCCTCCAAGTCTAATGCTGCGTTATACTGTACACCGATTTTCGCTCTGTACACCTTTGATAATTTCCAAAACGTTCAATTTCATCTCCAATTCTAATGCTATGTTATATACCAATTTTCACTCTGTACACCTTTGATAGTTTTTCGAGTATTCAATTTCATCTTCAAGTCTAATGCTGCGTTATACACCGATTTTCGCTTTATACGTCTTTGATAGTTCTCAAAGTGTTTAATTTCATGTAATTCGTTATTTTATATTTCATTTCGGATTATCTAACGTTACAAAATCCTGATTTATACGTCAATGTAAAGGTCAAATGTTACACATATTTATGATTAATAAATATAGTTTTGTTTATTTACAATACGAGGTATAATAATATTTTGTATTATTGTTTTCATAGTACATATATAAGTTTTGATAAATCATTGTCGAACCGTTATTTTATCAATCATTATGTCAACCAACAACACTGATTTCAACCTTCCGTCATATATTAAAGAAAATATAACGTCTATACGCAATTATTTAAAACAACATGACTTAGAGTCGATGAAAATAGAAGATAGTAAATTAATCGTTGTAAAATCGAATGGAATAGTTGTGGAGGTTGATGATTTCAATAATAGTGACATAAATAACGACGATACTGGTTCTAATAGCGCAATAGTTTTACCTGCCTGTAAATAACGATTCGCAGCTTCGCGCTGCAAAAGACATTCTCTCTTTGGCTAAAGAGATTATCAAAGTTATGATAGATGATGATCTCACCGAATTCATATCACATCCGGTATCTAACATAGATGATATAAGATGTGAGATAGAAAAAATGTACGATTTATGACAGAATTCATCATCTAAAAGGGTTAGTAATGAATCTAGGTTTACAGCCGGTTATTATGCATCATTAGATGAAGGAGGAGAACCATGGACAAGATCTATGTCCAATTTTCAAAGAGGCTGTGGGATTTATTATGAGTTGGTTAGATTAGTAGTTGCTAATACTGTCGGTGTGGGAGAGTATGGAGAAGAATGGAAGCGTCATATTAAAAACGACGTTTTTCATGTAAACGTAAAACCTGCCTATTTAAAAGATATAAATAGAAAAAATTGGCCGGTTATTTATCACTATAATCATTTTGGGCGTAACTCGTGATTATCATTTCAGCTTTATCTATTTCAGGTTACCTTTTCTGTAGATCTTGTACTTTTATTGAACCGCACTAACCCACTCAATATACCCATTAGGAAACTTGTACAACAATTTTTCAGCACCGGTTTTATATCACTATATCATGATAGTAA